GTAAAAATCACGAAAATTCGCAAATTATTTCAAACTAGAAATTCATAAAAATTTTTCTTTTTAAATCTAAGATTTGAAAATTTTTAATAATCTGTAATATATCCTAGACAGATAAACCGTCTTCGCTCAGAATCGTTTTTTGTATACAATGATATAATATCATTGGATTCAAATTTAATTCCATCCATTACAGTAACCCACTTAACCTACTGTATGGCAGAGCGACATACACGACTTACCCGTTTTTTTTATATACATTTAAAGTTCAAAGTTTAACAAAATTCATTGGAAACTCGAAAATTTTCAAATTATTTTTCAGTTAGAAATTCATAAGAGTTTTTGTTTCCGATTTCATTGAATTAAAATACAACCCATCCGTTACATCGACATGCTTGAGACTTGACAACTACTTTACAGCAGAGTGGTACCCACTTTTATCCATTTTTTTTGTAGATAAGTATACGTAGGTTATATTACATAGTTGCATTGTCTTTGGAAATTAAGCTTTTGAGTGGCTATTTTCGAATCAATGTTAGTTTTGTTTTCAGTTTTAACTATAAATTGTAATGATTTTATCAAATTTAACAATCCACTCTGATAAAATGTTACCAAATAGCCCACAAAGCATGTTGTAATCGCATAAAATATGAGCATCATTGGGTTTGGATATTCGATGATATTATAGTTTGAAAAATGCAATTACTAATGCAAAGGTATTGTGGGTCAAAGAAATATGAATAATATATTAATTTGATAGTTATAAATCGGTTTAAAAAACAGAATTACCATTGGGTACTACTGTTCATATAAGGGTCTAAAAAATTATTTTCACCTGATATTCGTAAATCGGTTTTCTAACAGTTTAACAAAAATAGTTATGAATTTCCATCTTACGTACCATCATCTCAACTGTACTGCAATATTGAGTTAAGTACATCTAATTTCTTATCCATATTACATTAATTTAATCGGTAAATGGGCAGAAATATTGATTGACTAACAAGCTATACCAATACTTCTCTCGTTTTATACTGAAAATAGTAAAAATCATTCTTAAAAACTATTTACATATTTGAAGTCTCAGCTTATTTGCTTCATTGAACTACATGGCTACTTCGGAGTTATGACTTTATAAGTAGTAGGTATACTTAAACGTTATGTAGTAATATACGGTAACAACACCCTAATAAGCATATTTCATTATTTTCTTCCATCGAGATATTAATAGAATTATAGTATATTAATGATATCATAATACTAGAGACAATGTTGACTATATTTTGGGTATTTAAAATTAGAGCGTTTTCTGCGTTTTTTGTAATGGTAAGGGCCGAGATCCTGGGTGACAATATTTTACTCAATAAGTAATGTGATATAATGAACAAAGAAGAAAGAAATTGCTTTTCTTATGATGAAATATTTTACTATACATAATTCTATGTATTCAACAATAATAATATAATATATTATTCTGGTTACACACTCATTACTTTTTACTAACGGGTCGCAATCGAGCAATCGTCGTATAAAATGTTTATCACGTAAGATTGAAATTGTACGATATACAGCTTTTGTTCAAATTAAAAAACTTAATCGGTTGCGACCGGTTATCGTCAACCGATGTTGAGCAATAACCGTTCGTCATCCCTACCCAGTCAATTATCTCTATACTTGTCGAGTAAAATTGCTACGCTCCTGCGCACAACGTTTCTTGTCTTGAAGCTTGAACAGAGTTATTTAACCAAATATACACGATTTTTTTTTTGTTAATTTAAAATCTGTTATAGTTAGTTGGTATTTACTACTTGGTACAAATGTCTAAGATATCCATTAACTAAATTATGGAAAGGATTTTGAATCCTAAACTGAAACCCGTAGAATAGTTATCTTGAAATTAAAAAAAAAATTTTCTATTGTTGATGAAAATATGAAATTGAAAAAAAAACGTATTCAATAAGAAATCAAAATTTTGGAAATTCCTAGAAAGTGACTTATATCTGAAAGCCCGGTGAAAAACAAGAAGAGAAATTGATTTCCAGCTCCATATATACCAAGCAATCATGACTGTCAATAAACCATTGATCTATAAAAAGTTCGATGAAAAATTCAATATCGAGGCGYTAACTGCCTAAGCAATGAGTATTTATCATTTATCACAACAAACGTGTGACATATTGTGGACTTGTGGTGTACCGAATTTGAACGCAAATCTTTTGTACTTGATCGTCGCAGCGTGCGTAGAGACAAGAGGATCTATAGATTATACTATTATAGCACTGCTAATGCTAAAGTATATTTTATTCAGTATTCTATTATTGTTACATTTTTTCGTAATCCACTGCCGTGTGCCGTCGTACATTGCACAACGTCGCAACGCCGCGGCACGTTATACGTCGGAGTTAGGCCCGTTCGCTTTTCGGATTGGTTAGCCGTCGACACGTCCGAGTTGTGCGCGTTTGCCAACATGTCGTCGGGACAGATCGGGTGAAACGAAACGACCGTCTAATACATGCACGAGCTACGAAAAAAGTATCTGTCGCCCCGCGACGACCTCCGACGGGTCACGAGTATGCGAGCGCGGCAACGCCGCACGAAACGGAGCTGCTCGGCCGGTCGCTGATAAGCGCAGTCCGATCGTTTGTTTTTCATTGGTTCGTGTCCGTCGTTCGCTGTCGTATAAATGCGTCAATTTACCGCAGTCGAAGCTCACAGCCCGACGTCTTGCGTCTGAGCCTTCAGGTTTGGTCGCGGGATCGAGGTACGAGGTAACTCGACAACTCGTACCCTAAACGCAACAGAATTTGTTAAATAAAATCCTGTCGCCGTAAACGTTGTTTCGCCATTCGTCGTCGTCCTGTCCGGGGCCAAGTGCTTTACGGGGGGAGTAAAAAACAAAACATAAACAAAATATCAGACCAAACTCGAAAAGCGTTTCTGAGCGTCTGCTCTTGTCTTGCTTTCGGGAATTATACGGTCGCGTAGGTAGGTACCGTGCAGTAACAACGGCACATTAAACTGATCGAGACGGCGGCTGGTCTGGAAACCGTTCGGCCGCCGCCGTATCCTCGTCGGATGCGTCGGTATACTGTTCGTAATTAGTCCGACCMGGTCGTCGGACATGGGCCGAAATTTGTTATTGTAATCGTTCAGTTTTTCTCATCATGCCCGGCGAGACGACTAGCGAAATGACGGAACAACAGGTATCCATTGTGGATGAGGACTTGCTGAAACAGTCGAAACCTGACTTGCCTGATAGTAAGTTGATAACGTTAATTTTTTATTGTTTGTTCACGAGTGATCTGACCTATGTACTTGGTAGACACCTAGTTGGACACATAAGTAAATAGTGTTAGAGAGTAAGAGAGAGAGAGAGAGATACACGGTTACAATGGGACGCTGTATCGATTTGAAACATTGTATGAGCCTCAGACCTTGTACAAGCATTGAAGTTTAACAGTTGTGTTGTGKATTACAGTGGATAGAATATGTGGTTGACTTTTATCTGTACACAAATATTGAATACCTACATTTTGACTTGTGTTGATTGTTTGAAATCCTGTTATTATTGAATGAATATTAGAAAAAAATGCCTTACATATAGTTTAATGCCTCTGAATTCAAAATTTAGAAGTGGTATGTGTTATGATGCTTGTTTAATTATTGCCACCACAATGTTTTTACTGCTAGTTTAAATATTTTACCAATATAATAATATGTTATTAACATTATCTTCTTATCAGTGTTGATATTATTTAATTATTTAATTTATGTTTGAGTTTATTATTATGAAATAAATACCTACTTAATTTTTCTTTCATGCCAAGTAAGCTTACACATTTTTTGTTAACGTTTACATATGAACACCAATCCAAAATATATTTTTTAAGGATATTGGTAAAATAAATAAATTCAATAAATATAAACCTCCGTTGAGTATTTTATTTATTTTTAAATATTTAACAGTTCATGTTCATATGACATGTGTATTGGATCATTACTAGTAAATTTTATTTTATTTTATTAGYAGTAATAGGTAGATATTACTATTAGGTTTGTTTTACATTTTTAATTTATGTACCAATGTTTTTTGTTTAAGATATATCCCAGATACCTATGTATTTGTTTTATTTAATTTATGCGGGMACCTAATTTATATAATAGATATAATATTCTTAGTACTTAAACACAATATATTTTATGATGATATTTCAATTAACAATAATAAAGTGAAATTGAAATATACATGTTTCCTTATAATATTAGATTTTCCAAGTTAGCTTATAGGTCTTGAATTGTACTACAGATAGTATTTTTATTACAGTGAAACCTCTATATAGTGGACAGCCATGGCTGATTAAAAAATGTTCACTATAGAGAGTTGTCCACTATTGAGAAAATCTCTACATAGTGGACGCTATATAGAATTGATTATACATTTACATATTATACATAATCACATTAAATTTGGTACATAGGTATTTGTCTATTATTAATTATAGTAATATACATTATATTTATGTATTTAAAAATGTTTATAGAAATGTATAACGTTTATGTGCAATTGAAAATATCTGTAATCTTTTTTATGTAATTTTTTTCTGCTTTTTGCAATCATTTGCAATGATATGTATTGTGTCCATTTATGAGAGGTTCCACATCCACTATTAATGGGTTATAACTCCTATTATGTGCATACATTTTAATGGGAATTTAAAAGTGTCCACTATCGAAAGGTGTCCATTAATAGAGATTTTAATGTACTTATCAATTATTAAATAAATTAAGTGATCAATAAACAATTTTTGCAATTTGATCTAACATTGATTCATTGAGTTAAATTGTTGTGTATTTTTTAGATAAACTTCCTGATGATGTTCCTAACGAATCAATATCTATTCCATCAATAAATGAGTTACCAAATGGCTTAAAGCGACCTTTGCCAGATGGAGTAGACAGCGATAAGAAAAAAAAAAAAAGACTAACTGATACAAGTGATGATGAATTTGAAGATACTAACAATGATGATAGTGGAAAAAATCATATTGAAATTTTGATACAAAAAGTTTCAGAGTCCCTAGAAAATACAATAGATGATATAAAATCTAATGTTTCGAATAAGACACACAATATTAATAATGAAACAAATTCATCCTTTAGTATGATTAACCATAATGGCAAAAATAGTGTTGATGATCAAAATTGTAAGGATGATTATCTTGATAAAAATACTTTAAGTAAAGATATTAGTAAGAAAAATGAAAACGAAACAAGTAATTTAAATAAAGTTAATAATAGTTCTAAATGTATTGAAAACAGTGTGGAAACTGTAAAAAATGGTATAAATAAATTAACTGAAAACAATATTCTTACTGCCAAAAGTATTTCATGTTTAAATAAATCATTATCATCATCATCATCATCAAATTTAGATATTGAAAATTCTGATCTTAAAATCAAAAAAGTTGTTAATGATATCCCGGTAAATGAAAATATATCTTTAGCAGGAAATCATTCAACTGTAACAGAAAGTAATTTAAATCATTCAAGTACTAAGATATCTAAAATTGAAAACATCGAAAACATTGCAAATAATAATAAAAATACTGCAGAAAATTTGAAGGCATTTGAAAATAAAACACAAAATTTAACAAAAAATACTGATGAAACTAAAATTATAGAAAGTCGTCCATGTAGTAGTAATACAAGCAATGATTGTTCTGATGACATTGGTAAAGATTTTGAAGTTATAGATTCTGATTCTAATTCTGATGTTTCATTATCTGATTTATCTGATTTACCCGAGGACATTAGTAATATTGTAAGCGGAGTACATCAGATGACCAAAGAGAGTTTTCCACAGTTATTAAAATTGTTTAGTAAAAAAGAATTGACTTTTGACGTAAGAAGATTTTTACTATTTATAATTTTGATTATATATTTTATTAATTAATACATTTAGTCTTGTGTTATTACTATTTTTTAGCAATTTGACAGCTTGTGTACACAGAAAATTATTGAAATTATGACAGAAAGATCATACATGGGTAAAGAACGTTCAGAACTTCAGTTGTTGAAGGAAAGAGAAAAACATTGGCGGTTAAAATATTGTTCACTAAATAGACAGTTAAAAGAAATCAAGACTATTGTGAATGTTCATAGACAAGACTTAAAAAACAATGAACATGCTAGACCACATTTAATTACAAGGACTGTTGGTTTGCAAGCAGTGTTATGTCCAAAAAAGGTAAATTATTTGATTTAAATATTGAGTGAAAAATATTGAAATATTTTGAAATATTTCTAGGAAAGTAATATGAAGTTACCAAAATTAGCTACTCCTTTGCCAAAAACTGATAATAAACCTGTAAGTATTGTTGTTGATGATGATGAGGATGATATTGAATTAGATGTAATAAAATCTGGCAATCCATCAACTTCAAATATTACAAATACGCCTACAAAAAAGGTAATATAGTAAATATTAACTATTGTAATTTGGGCTGTCATATAGTATGCGGTATACTATATAAAGATAAAGTGTTCACTGGAGACAAAGACTAAACTGTATCTATTAAAGATAAACTTAGGGCTGTGTATAAACTGGCCGGTCGCAGGTAGATGGTCCTACAGAGGCGGTAGAACGCGTTTGTCGGTAGACTGCATACTATATGACAGCCGTAATTTGTTAAAAAAAGTATTTTGGGAAATAATTAATTTGATAAATTGATACAAATGCTAATAATTATCTTAACACTTATTATTTTTATTTAGGATTTTATGTTGATTTTTTTTTTAAAGCAAAATATTGTTTTATTTATATTATTTACCTATCTCTTTCAAGTGTGATTTAGGAAGAGTATGATTTATAATTTTATGTTTCTTATTGTATCTTTAAAACTTGATTATTTGTTTTTTTTTCTAATTTCATGTGGTTTCTCAAAAAATAAAAATAAAAATATTAAAGAAGAATGCTAGAAATTTGAGCGGCTGGGCTCACTTAAAATATTTTTATTTTTTATTTATTATTTACACTTATATATCTTTTTTCTTTTTTTTTAAATAGCAAATTTCTCCTTTAGTTACTGCATCAAAATCGCCAGTGTTATCTCCAAAGACTATTACTGCTGCAAAGTCTTCAAATCCTATCAAAATTGGCACTGCTACTATAGATCTAACAGAAAATGATGATTTAATTGAAAAAACAAAACTAATCAATTTGAAAGGAACAATATCACCTGTTAAAGTTCTTCATCGCCGAGGTGCAGCGACTATAATAACAACACAGGTACCTCATTAATTAATTGTTAAATATTATTTATGATTTTAAGCAACTTAAAGGACTATACAACTAAAAAATCCTAATTTTTTTTTATTGTGTGAAAATTTAGTGCTTAAAAAAAGCAAAATTTTAGTGGTATAAAAATTTTTGTCGGACAATTGCTTCGGTGTTTATTTATAAGTCACGTAAAACGCGTGACGTCATAAAATCACACCGTCCGCCGGGCCGTATCTAAAATA